TTTAATTATTTCTTGTTTTTGAAAACTGTAAGACTTTGGTGAATACCTTTGTCAAAAAGTGTTCTCTGAACTTCTAATTATAAAAGCTGACAATTTGGTTCAATAAATATTATTGAGTTGCATCCATCTAGCAGACACTGAGCTACATTCTAAAGGACAATGTTGAATAAAATATGGCCTTGCCCTGAAGGAGTTTTATCCTACTGAGGAAAATACATGCAAAATATACCCACATAATTTCTCTAAAATTTGATAATAAGCAAGATAAGAGAAGGCACAGGTTGCTATGTTTACAAAGATGAAGGAGGTTTGAAGAAAGCTCAAATAAATCTTGAAGATGAATTAAGAATTAACCAGGCTCCAGAGTAGTGCTGTCAAGTAGAAATTAATATAATACAAGTCACATATGTTATTTAAGTTTCTAGTAGCCACTTTTAAAAGTGTTAAAAGAAACAAGTTAAATTAACTTTAATAATGATTCTTAATCTAATATATTCGGTATACTATCATTTCAATATGCATTCAATATAAAGAAGTAGTAAGGTAATTTACATGATTTTCATACTAAATCTTCAAAATTCAGTGTTTTATAATTACAGCATATTTAAACTCAAACCAGCCACAGCTCAAGTGTTCAATAGCCACATGTTACTAATTGGCCACCCTTACTTGGACGGGACACATGTAGAACTCACAAACTCATCTCTAATGACAGAAAGCAAATCAGTGGTATCCTGGGGCCAGAATGGAGAAAGAGATGAGCTGTAAAGAGGCATAAGGATAGACTGGGGGTGGGGTGGGGCAGGGTGATAGGAATTTTCTGTATTGATTATAGCAGTGGTTTCATGAGTGTGACACTCATTTAATTGCACACTTTAAATGGATGTACTTTATTGTGTATAAATTATAGCTCAATAGGTTGATTTTTTTTTAAGCCAGCCAGACAATAAAGATGAGAAGACTGTTCAGCATTTTTCAACACACTTAACACTTTCAGTAGAGCTGTCCCAGCCGGTGCTGATTTTACTCCCCTGTGATACGACCAATTTCACCCTTCCCTGATGGTATCATCATTTTTAATTTCTTTGCTACTTTAGTTGCTGACATGTGGTATTGTATTGTTTTCATTTATATTTATTTAATAACAAATGGTGTTTCTCCTGTTTATTGAACATTTGTATTTTTCCAAGTTATGTCCAGATTTGTTTATATCCTCAAGATGT